GGTTTAGTCCATCAGCTGTGTCTATTTAAGCCAGAGATTGTGTGTTTCATGGAAGCTGAATGCTCTGAAGTTGAATAAACCTGCTGATACTTCCACTTCACTTTGCCTGACAAGTTCATTTTCTCACTGAAAATCCAGCTGAGAGGTCGCCTGGTTACAGCTACCATGAAAGAATTTAAGCTAATGGCAAAACAAATATTAGGCATAAAAAGTAAGTGAAATAAACAAAATGTGTGGGTAATATCTTGCAGTTTTGAAGATTATGTCAGATCTGAAATAATGATTATCTCTGGAACTGAACAGCAAACTAGAGCTGTTTAAAGGCTGAAATAACTTCAGTCTGCGGAGCCTAGAATAGAACCACCTCAAAAATTTGCAATGGAGTTTGGTTACTTTAAAACAAACTATTAAAAGTGAAGAAAGAACCCAACGCAGTAGAAGAGACCCATTTTATAGAAAGGTTTTCACATGATTAAGTTAGCGATACCTTAAAACCTTTCTCAGTGTGTGTAAGGCAGTGTGTAGAATATGTAGTTTTTCTTTTTTCATCCCTTACCGCCAAAGAAAAGCTGCCCTCCTGGTGTGACTAGGTATGTGGGACTGGCAGAAGCTACTTTTGTTCCATCCACTTGGATGCTCAGATGATCCAGTTCTGATTTGAAGTCCACAGAGTGCCACTGCCCGTCATTCAAGAATGAACCTGCAATGTGAATTTAAAAGCATTATCCAGTTGTTGAAAACAGTGTTTTTGAACCACAGGAATCACCTTGATGTGGAGGATATTATGGTGGCTGAGTTGAGCAAAGTACATGTAAATGCATCAATTTACAACAAACTTCAAAAGTCCTGCAGGCACAAATTGAAACTAGCAAACACAAAGATTAGACTGTTAAAGATCAACTACTTTTAAAAAGAGGAATTTGTGTTCTAAATTACTCTTCACTGTTTGAGGTACTTCTGTTTCTCATTTATCTCTTGATGAACATCCAGTATTGACAAAACTACTTTTCAAGTTAGACGGACATTCCAACAGCCATGCTTCTGCTTCATAATGAAAGCCATCAGTGCATATTGTCACAGCTCAGAACGGAGGACTCAGTATTCACGCAAGACAGACAGTGGAATTACTCCAAGGCATTTATTTAGAACCAGAGGATCAGAGTAGCAGCGTCAAGGGTGTCTATCATAATGGAGGAAGATGGTGAACGTGAGTCACTATCCTCATTAAGTTCAGTCTCTGCCCAGAGAAAAGGGTAGGATCCAGCTTCTGGGCTGCCAGCCAGATGTGGCGGGCACTGCCTAGAGTTTCCCAGATGCTGCAGCCCCGCAGAGCAAGCAGGAGTCTGAGGAAAGGTCAAGCAAACAGATCACAACAGGAACAGGCAGGCTCAGAGGTCCAGGAATCCAAACCCAGGTCAGGCAAACACATCAGAACAGGCAGGCTTATTGGTTGAGAGGCAGACCACAAAATCAGAAACACTAAGGTATGCCAAAAACACTCTGACCACAGGCTGGGGAGAACAAGAATAATCTGGCACTGATGACTGGATGCAGGCAGCTTAAATAGAGTCAGGAGCAGGTTGATCAGATGAGCAGTCATGACAAATAGTGTCAGGAGGGCATTCCAGACGCACTCCTGGGTTCTGAAAATAAACCAAAACAAAATAATCCAAACAGAAAAGTCAGAAAAACCAGACAGAGATCAGAATAACAGAAAAAATTCAGAGAGAGACAGACGCAGCTTCTGACAGCAGGTGACTTTGATGTGGAAGCAGCCTGAAAACCCAGGCAATCCAGAATCTCCCGCATGCCCAACTTGAGCCAAAACAAACATTGTTCGACCTCAGAATGCCACTTTCTGTCTGTCGATGGGTTCATGTTTGCCAGATTACTATGTCATGGCTCAGAACAGAGGACCCAGTATTCAGGCAAGACAGTCAGTAGGATTACTCAAAAAGCGTTTATGAAAATAAACAGTCTGCGGATCTGGAGTATCAGCGGCTAGGGCCGCTCTCTGGAGAGAGAAAACACAGATTGGTGACCATGATAACCAGTGATGGGACTAACGGCGTTGAAAGTAACGGCGTTACTAACGCTGTTACCTTGTTTTAGTAACATGTAATCTAACTAATTACTTTGACTGTAACTATAATGCAGTTACCATTGCAGACACCCCGTTACTGCACATTATTTAGGTCGCACAATTAACCTTTTTTCATGATAGGACTCGTGCGTGCCTTGTCATGAGAGAGGGGGGGATGAGAATGGCTTATGTATAGTGAGATTCCGTCTGTCAGTTGGGTAGGTGGGTGTTTCTGCTGGCGGGTGTTAACGTACAGCACACACAGAGAGATGGAGAGTGAGGACTCCAGCAGCAAAAAAGCGTTTTGCAGATGGAAATACCGGTGTTACGTCAAGCTGCGTTGCCCCATCACATAGGTTTCCCCTGCATCTCCGCACAGCGCAGGCAGCATGATTCACCGCGCAAGCGACAGGAAACGCGCATGCTCGCTAAAGGCGCGCAACAGTCGCCCTGTGCTCGCGCCACAGGAGAACTATGGAGAGCGTGAACGATCAAATGAAAGGGAGAAATCTGGATGGATGGATGGATGGATGGATGGATGGAT